ACAAACACCTTGTTGAAATTAGGCATGACCAGGGGCTGAGATCATGGCAGCCTTTAGCTTCTCAAATGCAGTGGTTGCTTCGGAAGTCTAACCAAAATTATCCTTTCTCCATTGCTCAGTACGTGGCTTAGCGATTTGAGCATATCCCTTTATAAATTTCCGGTAGTAGCCGGTCTAGGTCCTTCAAACTCCTCGGAATAGGCCACTCCACCATCGCTCTCACCTTTTCCATATCAACCGCTACACCTTCTTGGGACACTATGTGACCCAAATATGCCACCTTTGATTGCCAAAATTCACACTTCTTGAAATTAGCAACAAGTTTATGCTCTTTCAACTTTGACAGAACCACCTTCATATGCTCCAAGTGACTCTCCTTGTTGGGCTGCAAACGAAAATGTCGTCAAAAAATACCAACAAGAACTTTCTTAGGTAGGGTCGAAACACGTCGTTCATGAGAGCTTGAAAAGTTGCGGGTGCGTTAGTCAATCCAAAGGGCATTATGAGAAATTCGTAGTGCCCTTCATGGGTTCGGAAGGCGTTCTTATGGGTATCCTCCTCCCGAACCAAGATTTGGTGGTAACCCGACTTTGAGGTCGAGTTTTGAGAATACGGCTGCCCGTGTAACTCATCCAAGAGTTCATCAATGATGGGAATCGGGTACTTCTCTGGGATGGTCTGCGATTTAAGGCTCGGTAATCAACACAAAAACGCCACGAGCCGTCCTTCTTCTTCACCGGTAAAACTGGGCTAGAGTAGGGATCGATAGAGGGCTTAATAATTCCTGCTTCGAGCATCTCGGAATCAACTTCTCGATTTCATTCTTCTAAAATTGGGGGTACTGGTAAGGTCTTACACTTACCGGATTGCTGCCCTCTTTCAAAATTATCGAGTGCTCGTGGCCTCGCTTTAGTGGCAGCCCTTAGGAACAAGAGAAAACCTCCTGGAATTGCCCTATCACACCCTCCAGCCACCCCGGTACAACTGTGACCAATTCCTGTAATTGGCTTGCCTCCGTCTCCACTTCAACTTGGTTGATTTCTAAACGAAGGCCCCCACCCTTATGGCGCAAAGCGACACCTTCGACTGTTCCAGGGAAAGGTTGCCCACCAATGTGACGGTCTGGTCATTCACCACAAAACTCATTATATGAGTTTTTTCGTTTGTAGTGAGTTTTTTCGTTTGTAGTGACCGGACCCAATTTCTCCGACCACTGAATGCCCAAGATCAGATCGGCATTCCCTAATCGGAGTGGCAAGAAAGTATCTACCACCACGAAGCCGCCCTTGAGCACCACACGCACCCCCTTACACACGCCTTTTCCCCAAATCAAGTCACCATTACCCAAGGAAACTCCGAACTCTCTGTCACCTTCCACCGGTACGCCAACTTCAGCTACAAGGGTGTTTGAAATAAAGTTATGAGTCTCCCCGGGGTCCACCATAACAACCATCGGCTTAGGGCCCACCTTCTCCTCTAACTTCATAGTCCGTGGGTTGGATAAGCCCACCAAAGATCTCCGCCGGAACTTCCTCTTCTGTATTCATCTCCGGCAGCCCCGATGTTCCTTCTCCGGGATCGTCCATCTCGCCCACCAACAACACACTCAACTCTTTGTTTTTACACCGGTGTCCCACTCACCATCTCTCATCGCACCGGAAACATAAACCCTTCGCCTTCCTCTCTTGGTGTTCAGCCTCCTTCAACTGCCTCGGCTCGCCAGATTTTGCGAAAGTGAAAGTTATCAGTTTTGAGTTGTTTACCGAACCTTGAGATTTGGTGGGTGCTTTTGGCCAACCTTTGAAGGTAGAAGCCTATTGAGTTGGTGTCCCGTAAGTACTAATTAAGCCCGGCCCATTAGGTGGTTTGCTTGTACTCCCACTTATTATGGACTTGCTAGATCCAAATAAGTTAGGTCCCTTTTTATATCCACCGAACCAATTTCTTTCTTCGACCTGACCTGCAACATCCATGGCTTGGTCCAAATTATATGGGTTCATCAACCTTGATGAACCTAACCTAAGCCTTGACTTCTTCCTTAAGCCCATTAATAAAGTGGCCCAACATTATGGTTTCGGGTATGTCTTCCAAAGGAGCAGAGAGCTCAATGAACTTCTTGCGATACTTGGGACCGCCAAATCCTGCTTCACTGCCAGCCACTGCTCGTGGAGGCTTCCGGCGCGGGTCGGCCGGAATTGGCGTAAAACCCTAGCCTTCAAGTTATCCCATCCTTGTATCGGCCTTCTTCGATTTTCCCACTGAAACCACCGTAGAGCGTCCCATTCCATGGCCACCACGGCGGCCTACAATTTTTGGTCCTCCGTGAGTTGGTAGTGCTGAAAACACTTCTCCCCTCGAAGTATCCGTCCGTCGGGATCGGAACCCTCGAAAATTGGCGCCAATTTTCTGGGTTTTCACCTGTACCCCCCACCGTCGCCTCCTTCGCGGTCTTGCCAACCTCTCATCCCGTTGTTGAACGGTGGACCTTGTTCTTGTTCGTGGTTCCTCTAAGTTACGAGGTTACGGAGTTCCTGAGCTTGAGTAGTGTTGTTCACCTGTCATTTGCGCGTCTTGCTGTTGACGGAATAGCTCGAAACAGCCTTTGACTTTCTAAACGGCCTCCTCCAGAGACTTCTTCTTGAGAGACTCCTCTTGAGTCTTCATCGCTGTTTCCAACGTCTTCAGCTGATTCTCCACTCCGGTCATCCTATCCTCAAGTGCATCGCACCTCTAAGGTACACTGAGAATCATTTTTCTAAAATAAAAAAGGGAGAGTGTGGTGGTTTCCGGCGCCGGCAGTCGCAGGACCGCCGCTCTATACCAATTTATAACGAACTAGAGCAGCTAAGCAAAGAAACTCACACAAAAGCAAGAGATAAACTGATTTAGAGAAGAAGGCAACTATTTCATTAATAAAGATTCAAACTTTCTTACAAGGAGGCTTGAGGCCACCATTCTCACTTAGTGACTTGAGGTCACCACTCTCCTTACCCAAATGACTCCAATAATCTAGCTACCTAGCAAGTTCCTCCCTCCCCTTTCTTATATGTACGTAAACAGCCAAAATAAGTTAATGACAAAAGACAAAAGGTTGCAGCTGTCATAATATGATATGCTCACTGATTTTCATACTGCTCCACTACTCCTACCCTTGACGGCTTTCCCTGTCTCTCTTACTCCTTCTTGTGTATGTGATCAAGTCCCTACTTGCTTGAGGCGTTCGTTACAAAGAAAAAAGAAGGGATGCATCATCCTTTGTTTCGATATCTAATGAAAGAAGGGAAGAGGAGGGAATTGGAAGGATCCATATTCCTTCCCCTTTTTATAGACCAGATTTCAAAGAATGGAACACTTAAAGTTTTTATGTTCGTGTCATACCTTGTCTACTTGTGGTAAACAATAGGTGGTTGACTTTGGGGTAGTAGCCATTAATATGCAAGTTGTTGTGCATCTTGAGGCTCGAAAAGAAAGATGTAGGAGGTTGGGCATTATAAAAGTGTCGTAAATGTTGAAAGTAAAAGAGGTAGAGGATGTGAGCTAGCAAGAAAAAAACAGTAAGTATATCTCAAAGTTGGAGTGAGCACAAATCTATTGTAGTAAGGGAGGAATTGATGGAGAGACAAATTCCATATTAGTGTGAGGGGTATTTTTAGGATTAGTAATTTAGTATAAGTATCATTGTTGAGGGTACTAGTGCAGACTATCCTAAAAATACATTGTATCTAATATTGTAATTGTTGTGGTGGTCATTGTACCCCCAAAATTATCGCTAGTGAAGTTTTTTCCGTCCTTGGAGATTGCGACAGTGGTTTTCCCCTTATTTTTGAGGAGGGGTTTTCAACATAAAAATATCGCCTAAGCCAATTAGCTATTGCCGACCGTGCTTTTTGGCATTTTTATAATTCTTCCCAATATCGTGTTTATCTGTTGCTTCGCCCCCAACAAGCATCACTTCCAAGTTCCAATCAGAGATAAGTTCACCTTTGATGCATGATTTGCCTGTTTATCATAATCAATTTCCCCAACCCTTTAAACTGCTGCACACTTGCACAGCCCCCCCCCCCAGGCCAATCCGCTGCTGAAGATGAGCAAGAAATAATAGCATTTGAATTAACATAAACTGCGTATTGAGGGCTGAAAAGAAAATGAATGATTTACAAGATCTAGATCTACGATTGAAAAAAGGAAATAAGCTCGGAATTTAAAAAAACTTCTGCTTTGCTACCAAGAGAAGCAGCTAAAAGGCCTAAAACAAATTAAAACAAGAAATTAAATCTGGACTAAAGAATGCAGAAATATAAAGTAGAAAGGAGAAATTTATTTGGAAAGCAGGTAGAAGTCTGATTGCAATTGTTTTAACAAAAAAACTCATCCCAATTTTTTTTTAGAACCAGTGCAGTTGTTGGAGAACATGCTAGTTGAGAAGTAATTTGTAGCTATCTAATTTGCTGTTCTGCTTGTCACTTGACTCTATTGACTTGTTTACTAACTCAACAATACATATCCTTAGAAAGAAAAACTACAAATCAGTTTAACACTTTAACCCCATACCTTGTTCAGAAAAAAGGTAACCAATACAGTTAAACACATACCGTAGGCTACCATCGTACACATGTAAAAGTTAAAAATATATACTTGTCTATAATTTATGCCCTTGGCAATTAATCAAAATTTATTGAATCTCTAATGTCTTTTCCAATTTTATAGATGTTATCAATCTCAAGTACAACATAACGATTTATGTCCGAGCTTGCAGCTCAAGATGGACAAAAAAATAATGAATCACTAACCACAAAACACAAATAAACTTGAGTAGAAAAGACAAAATGAGACAAGAATAACAAAGCCATCCAACAAGGAGTAATTGCTTCACAAAAATCATTTACAATAGCCAAATGTTAAATTTTGCTAAACATTTATATAAATGAATGAAAATACTTTATTTGGATTAGGATGCATTTAGAAAATATTATAAAAATAAGGGAAAAGGAGTGATTAACCTGGGTTCAAGAAGGCCTCTACCGAGCTGACCCTCATTATTTCTACCCCAAGCCCACAACTCCCCTTTAGCTGTCACAGCAAGAGAGTGATAATGCCCAGCACTCACACTCACAACATCAGTTGGGAGCGCAGGTACTACAGTTGGTTCATAAGCATCAGCCCCGACACCCATCAAGGAAGACGGCAAGCCCAGAGCTCCCTGACTGCCATCCCCAAAACTCATGACAGAAAACGATGAGCTACCATTTCCAGTAACTCCACTACTAAAGCCCCTACATCTTGAAACAAAAGCAGTATCCACACCTCTCTTCCAAAGAAACTGCATCATCTCATTAACTTATAAAGTACATACCATATCTAGTCTAAAATAGCAGCAGCAGGACCATGATGATGTCGCAATATCTAGTATTTTTATCCACTTGTGTTCATATAGTAGGGTTCTCAAATAGAAAACTCGCTTACAAAGCAACCTGTGCCACATGAAACAATAGCCAGTTTAATGATAGCTTAATCATCATTTAGAGATAATGGTGCTTTATTAATCAATCCCCACCACTCAATTGTTTTGTAATTGCTTATATGAACATCAAATATTCCATTTTATTAAGCATTGTTTATGTATAATTCCAGGCATTTTCTTTCGCACGCCAAATTTCGACCCTCCACTTCCAACCCCGAATCGAAAAGTGAATCATGAGGAACAACTTCTAATACCTTTCTTATAAGTTTAATTAAAGCAGTATGACCAACAAATTAGAGAATTTTGATTAGATACACCCTCTGCCCCAATTTTAGGCTACAATTCTATTTTTGGATGTCACAAAATAATATGCCAATCTTTGTGTATTGTAAGATTAAAAGTGAAATTTTCCACATTGTCATACATTTAGGATTAAAACCCTAATATCAAAATAAAATGCTTGTTCTCAACAAATGTATAAATTATCAAATACAATCACACAATCTCGAGCAAATTCTATTAAAATGACCTATAATCCAATCAAACGTGGTCTATTAAAGTGAGACGAGAAATTAAAGAATGCAGTAACCACTCAATTATAGTCTTGTTCCTTATTCCGTCAAACCATTTGATGGTTTGGGTTAATAATACCCAAAATAAGAAATTCTGAGTTTTAAATTCAAAGTCCATAATTTATTTATTTATTAGGCCATTTGTGATGCATTTGTTCTTCATTAATAAACTAATGTTTGATTCAGAAGTAAAATAATGAAATAAAAAAAAAAAAAAAAAAAAAAAAAAAAAAAAACATGAAAATAAAAAACAAAAAGATGAAATTCTCATAATAAGATTACAAAAATACAATACCTGAGCTATGGAATGCGAATGAAGAAGTTGAATGCCCAGTTTGCCAAGCAAGTCACAGAAATTGCCTACAATTTCAGAGGATCACTCGCGGTCATCCAAAATATATACGAGTATCGTTTCTAATCACTTCACTTACCGAGTATAAGGCCCGATTCTCTTCGTCTTATTTTTACTGATAAAATACAAGTTTCTCAAAGTGATGTTAAAAGGTATATTTGTCTTTTTAGATAGTAAGGCTTTGTTTGATTCACCTTATTTTTACTGATCTGGTCTGGTTTGATCTGATCTGGTTTGGTCTGATCTGATCTGATTGTCTGATTTGACCAAACTTTGACCTTAAGTGTACAATAATCTATAAGGAAAAAATATATCGAGTGGGATCTTGTTAGATTCGTAATAATGTGTAGTTTATTAATATGTAATTTTCACAATTTTTTTCACTACGAAATTAAGAATATTTAGCGATAAAAAACCGCACATAAAACGATATTCTGATCTGAACTTATTTTTTCTGATCTGAACTTATTTTTTCTGAAATAAGTTGAACTAAACAAGGCCTAAGTAGGGGTTAAAATTGTAAAATCAATCAGTAAATTCAAGGGAAAAGAAAACGTCTTTAATGGAGAAACAAAGAGGTTTCAATAGAGAAATCGAACTCTGCAATCAGCTTTAATGCAAGAGGTCAATACTCATATCCTTTGAGGTTAACCGTGCCCATTTTTCCTTAATTTTTTAGGGTTTTCGTTTAATTCGATGGTGAAGCTGTCGAAAAGGTGACGGTGAAAATGGTGGTGTCAAGGGAGGAAAGCTCAAACTGCCTCAATGGTATACCGAGAGTTAAATTAACAATGGTGTGAAGAGGAGGAAGAGGTCAATACTCATATCCTTTGGGGTTAACCGTGCCCATTTTTCCTTAATTTTTTAGGGTTTTCGTTTAATTCGACGGTGAAGCTGCCGAAAAAGGTGACGGTGAAAATGGTGGTGTCAAGAGAGGAAAGCTCAAGCTGCCTCAATGGTATACCAAGAGTTAAATTAACAATGGTGTGAAGAGGAGGAAGAAAGAGGGCGAAAATGGAGGTGGGTCTTAGTTTTAGATGTGAAGAAGATGAAGATGGGTATGGTTGGATATGAAGATGATGGAGAAGAAAGGAGATGAAGAAACAATACAACAAAAACTATAGGGAAAATTGGCCACAATGACACCACCTGTTTCGGGGTTTTCTGATGTCCTGCGGGAGAGTTACAATTCCGAGACTGGAACCGGACGCCTGTACCTGCAAAACAAACGGATGCTCCGGATGATTGGAGATCCGCCTCCGACGGTCAAGTTAGTACTTGATTAAGGAGTAATTAATGCGGAAATTAAAGTGATTGGGTCTCTCTAGGTGAGAGTGTTTAATGTGTGTAATCTGCGTCCTCTCTCTTAATGAGGATTAAGGGAGGTATTTATAACCTCGGGAAACGTGCCAATCTAGGTTTAGGTTAACCTTGGGCTGATTGGGCTTCCCTCGGAAGTTGGGCCTAGGTGGCCGACTTCTCCATTAGGCATGGAGTATGCCACGTGTCATGACATAATAGGTCCAAGGCGGACGAATAAGCGTGTGCCACGTGGCAAGCCCTGAGAGGTCCAACTGGGGAACACTTGGCAGGACCTGATTGGCCCACGTGGCGCATTCCGATTGGTGGGAGCAAAATCCCCTAATCATTTGCCCCTCACAGGTGGCACGTGACTGGTCATGTGTTACCTGTGACAGGTGTCGCCCTGTAACAGGCGACGGCCTGCTACAGGTGTCACTCGGCGAGAGGCCGAGAGATTCTCCCGCCAAAATTTTGAATTCTGGAAGTGACCCTTCGCCTTCTCACTTCGCCTATATAAAGGAGTGTTGACTTCGGTCATTTTCACACTTGAAAACTTTGTGAGAGAACATTCGGACCCTTGAACTTGCTCTGACATTTTGGACCCTTTCTGCCTACCGCCTGCTCTGACAAGCCGACTGCAAAGGATTTTCAGAACTTCATCAATCGTCACTCGTTCAGGTAACCGTCGGTTCTCTTACTCTTAATTTTCTCTTTACTTTATTCTTTTTTGAAATGGCACCACGGAAGCACACGACACGACCTAGGTTAGTGATCAGCCGGTCACCGGGGACGGCTGAATCTAGGACTAGGAGTGTCGTCTACCCTTTTCTGGACCCATCTTTGCCCTTTATACAAAGTCCGACTGTATCTGTGTCTATGCAGAGCATGATGGCCAGAACAAAAAAGACTGCCAGGATCTCAAACTCAGACGGCTCCTCCCACAGGGTGCCGATTAGTGAAACATCTGACCAGGCGCCAGATGTGGAAGTGAAACAAAGCGGCTTGAAAGCCGGAAGTTCTGAGGGAGGAGTCAAAGGGACCCCTTCCCATTTTACAGTTGACAATTCTACATTCTCTCCTGATCCTTTTAAAGGAGAAGAGGCGGGCCCCTCCGGGAGAGGGGAGGAGTCGTCCTCTTCGGACTCGTCAGAGGACGAATCCGAGTCTAGCTCTTCTGGCCATGCTTCTCTGGACACAGAAGAGAAAAACAGTCGCCTACAAGAGGCGAGGCTTTCTCACGCAGTTGAGAAGGGGGACGATTGGGCGGAGCCATCCGCCTCTCACCGAGAGCAAAATACCCCCTACTACTGCACGGTACCTCGGGGCCGGATCACGGCCATGCAAGAGAAAGTGGGGAGCTTTATCGCAAACCACACAATGGGCCCCGGCTTTTTAGTGTTCGTGCCGGGTCCAGAAGACACAGTCGTCTGGCCGGCTGGTACCAGTTATGATGGCGCCTGCTTTGGCTGCTACGAGGCGGCCATCAAGGCTGGGCTGCGCTTCCCACTACATCCGGCTGTTCAGCGGATCTTGGATGGGTATGAGTTGGGGTTATGGCAGTTAGCCCCAAACTCCTGGGTCAACGTACTCGGCTATGTGGCCGGGTGCGAACTGCACGGGGTGGAGCCGAACTTCGAGGCTTTCGCCCACATGAACTACCTCAGCCGGACCCCTAAGGCAGGCGGTACCGGCTGGTATCAATTGACGAGCCACAGGGGCTACCTCATGACAAGAGGTAAAGCAAACAAATGGAAGGACTGGCGGAGCACCTTCCTTATCATTGAAAGTTCAGACACAGAGCTGAACAAGCGCTTCAACAGGTGGAACAGGAATCCGCCCCTTCTTGCAGGCGGCCGCAGCATGCCGCCTGTTCCCCCCAAGGCTAAGAAAGAGATCCTAGATAAAGGACTCTTCAAAGTAGAGTCGAAGGTGAACTCTACTTCAGGGGTACGAGAGCAAGTACCCCTGCACTGCGTCCCGAGCTTCAAATGGCTCTACGACGAGTACTTTTTGGCCGCCTGTGGCCTCAGCAGCCGGTGCTCAAGAGGTACCCGGCCTGTCGAATACTCTGTTGTTCCGTGCATTTCTTGTTATGACTTTTATTAACTTTGCTATTTGTTTTTGCAGCGGACGCCATGAGCAAAATTACCGCCTCCAAGACTGCGGCGGCCATGTTGCGGGCCTCCATCATGCAACAGTCTTCAACCGACTCCCCCAACAAGGGGGCACCCTTGGTGGGCTTCGAACCTTTCACCCTCTTTTTGGAGTTGTGTTTATGCATATACTGACTCTTTTCTTCTTTTTTAGACGGGCGCTCCAAGAGCTTCTTCTTCCCAACAGCCGGACCCCAAGGCCCGGAGGACGACTGTTGCGAGCTCTCCTGGTTCTGCCAGGAAACATGCGGCGGCTGAGAAACAGCCGGCCACTTCTTCTAAAACTCCAGCTGGGCCACCTAGAAGTATGAAATTATCCTTGTAAATTTTAGACTTGCTCCCTTCTTTACTAGGTCTAATCCGTTTGTTTATGCTTGATGCAGCCGGCCCTCAGGAGCCTGACTTGGTCGAGGTGGCCAAGTCTATGATCAAGGTCGTTCCTCCAGCTGAAAGGGAGGCGGTCAGGGGTGTCGGCACCCTTGACCTAGACGGGATTGCAGGGGTCCTTGCTGAGGTATACTTAGCATATTTTTGAGTATTTGAATTCCAGGACGCCTGTTTTCTTTTTTGTTTGGAAACTGACGCCTGTTCCCCTTTTTACTTAGGCCTTGCTCCGAGTGAACGACCTTCGCAAGGCGCTTGACCGGAAGAACAAAGAGGTAAAGGCTGCAAAAGCTATGGTCGCCTCTGACTGTGATAAGGCAATGTTTCAAATTGCCCAAAATGAAGTTCTGACCATTGATATTCTTTATTATCAAGCGCAGGCTACCGCCGCTATCCGGGCTCAGTTAGAGGCGGCCCAGAAGAGGAATAGCGAGCTGGAGGCGACCATCAACAACCTCAAGGCCGAGCTGAGACCTCTTCGCCAAAAGATGTCCTCATACGAAACCTTGGAGAAATCCTTGGCGAGCGTAAAGGAACGTCTGGTGACCCAGGAGAAGAGTCTTACTCAGGAGCTCTCGGAAAAGGCCGAGCAAGAAAAGAAAGAGCTGGTCCGGGAGATGATGGAAGACTCTACTCAAATCCAGCGCGTGACTTGGGGTCGCCTCTTCCCCAATGCCGACTTTGCCTCATGGGAAAAAACGTACCGCCAGTGTTCTGATAGATATAATCAAGAGATCCTGGCGGCTGCTGAGGAAGAGGCGTTGGAGGAGGAGGAGCAGCCGGTAGTGGCGCTTGTGCCGCTTGGGGGTAATGCATCAAAGAAGGATGCAGCTGAAGCCGAGTCCAGCAAGAAGAGTGCTGACCAGGCGGCAACTGCTAATATTGAAGATCTGCCCCCTTCTTAAGCTTTATGTCTTCTTTCCACGGCCTGCGTGCCGTTTGTTTGTATTTACCCGGCCAGGGGGCCGGGGCTCTGAATATTTTGCCGGTCTTTAATGACCGGCTTCCTTTTAATGAATATTTTTGTTTTGCTTCAAATTTGTTTAAGTATTGAATATTCTGATATCCAATTGTACACTATACCGACTGTTTTACATGGCCGATAGTTGCAGACAGGTACGGATAGTTAGTCACGCCGCCTATGCCCCTGGACGACTGGTTGTCTGTTTTCAGGCTAGACGATCAGTCGACCATTTATCCAATCGGTATTCGAACCATTTTAAAGACTGGATCCCCTTTAGGCAGGCGGTCCTGTCATTTGTAAAATTAACC